TTTCCCAAGGTCACAGAGACAGTATACTAGATAGGAAAAGTGTTCAGCTGCAAGTATAAATAGCGGTTTTGGTTGTTTGTTTTTCACATAAACAGAAGTCCGCAGGTAGGTAGTTACAGCCCTTAGTTCAGTGATTCCACAATGCCACCAAAATACCTAGGGTTCCTCCCCACCATTTTGGCTCTATGGCTCCCGCAGTCTCATGTTCCTTATGATACTTTTTTAAACCCATCTTTAAAAATCTCACCAGTCAAGATTTTGTCCAGCTTTACTTTTTGAAGTATTTCAGCAGTCAGCTCATACAGCTCATTGATTTCACAGATGGGGAAATAGATTTGCCCCTAGCAAGGTATCAGAGCTAATTAGTTACACCAGCCTGGAGTCCAGTGCTCTTTCCATGATACAAGTATTTAGTGGAGACTGCAAGTTGCCCACCAAAATCTGCTCTCCCATTTTTTCTTGGCACATGGCTGGACTACATTTCTCAGCCTCCTTTGCAGGGAGGTGTGGATGGCCATATGACTAAGTTCTTGCCAATGGAAAGTGCAAGGTATGTGTGCCACTGCAGGGTCCAGGCCTTAAAGCTCTGGGTGTCTCCTCTGGATTTGTTTCCCCTTCCCACTGGCTGGAAGCAGTGATGACCCAGCTTCACTCATGCAGATGATAAAATGACAATGCCGTCCCCCCCAGAGGATGGAAAACCAACATGATATGAGGAACCCGTCTGTGTCCCTGAATAACTGCTTGGAGCACAGCTGCCCCACTGAGCTGGACCACTCACTTCAGAAATGTTAACTCCCGCTCAGAGTTGTTATGTGAGAAAGAAACAAACTTCTTTGTTCCTTAAGCCACTGTATTGTTGAGCCTCTTTGTTATAGCAGCTTAGCCTTTTATCCTAACTAATACAACCATGCAGCTTCCTTTGTACGTATTCAGAACAGCTTCACAAGTGACCAGTGAGCCATCTTTTTAGAAAATAGCCCTAACTGCCCAAGCAGGTGATAAATACTGAAATTCCTTCCTGTGGTTACTATCTCAAGATTTCTTCATCCTGGTTAAAATTATTTAATAATTGAAACATCATTTATGTGGAGACCCACTTAGCTTTTATGCTTTCATGTAATTATTTCAACAAATACTTGATTTTCTAGATGTTGGGGATATATAGACAGGTTACTGCCTTCATAAAAGCTTGCCTTCTAGCGTTTTTTTGTTGGTGGTGTTTTTAATGTGTTTTAAGCAGAAAAATCTCTTTGTAGGAACTGAGGCTAAGAATACAGTTACTGAGGGTTACAAAGGATCAAACCATGTACCTAGACTATAGATGAACAGTTTTCCTGCTTAGCCCCCAAAATCAAGCAAAATATTTTAAAGACTAAGAATCCAGCTCTCTGATTTTCAGAGTCGAAGTATTTCCTACCCACTTAAAAATAGCACTGCCTGAACTACAAGAATTGTAAAGCTAGTTAAGATTTTTACTTTCTATGTCGACTTTATCTCAATAAAACTGGAGCAAAAAAATTTTTACTGACAGAGGTAGATGGACCAAATAGCTTGCTGGGTGCTGGAATTAATTACCAAAGCCATTCAGAAAGCACTGCTGTGGACTGGAGACTCTGAGCACCTGGACCAAAGGGCTCGGCTTGTCTAGGGATTAGCTGAGGCCAGATGGTACAAAATGGCACTCTTCATCCTCCCTCCAGGCTGAACAAATAGCCCAGAGTTGGTCTCTGTGGTCCTTTCCAGCTCTCAAATGAGATCTGGAATGAGATATTTAGTAGTAGTAACAGAGGGAAGCAGAGGTTTGTCCTGGCTTTGCCACAACCTGCTCTATGGCTATGGAATATCCATGTTTTGGGCCTCAGTTTCCCCATCTGCACAAGAAGGTGCTAAGGATCCTCTCATCTCTACATTTCCGACAATCACTAGGAAGAATTACTTCCCTTCCCTACACTCAACAGCAAGGTCATTCAGAAGGCAGCAGGCGGAGAAGGGGAGATCTACCTCAGTGCAGGGCCTCAGACTGGGGCACCAAGCTGATTTCGAGTGTTCCTCTTCTCTAGGCTCCCTGCTCATGGTGAAGGAAGTTCATCTTGTTGACTTTAAATTTTCTAAGAATGGGGCAGTGGGCACAACCACAGTGCCTTAAATTTCGTAGGTACTTCATAAATATTAGGCACTTGGATTTCTTTCTTTTAGGAAACTCCTGATTTCCAATTGCCATTGAGATCGCAGTGAGTTCAATGAGAAGTTGCTGCTCCAGGGAGTTCAGATGAAAGGATTAAAGGTTTTTTGAGGTAGGATTATTAAAACTAGTTTTTCCTGCTTCTCCGCTGAAACTTTTTTTAAAGCTTTAAAATATATTCAGTGACTTGAGTGAAGAGCATTTGAGAGACTAAGGCTCCTCCTAAAATTACAGCCAGCTTAAGAGTGCCTCCGCGCCTGCACTGCTGTTCACCAGCTGTTCTCCTGTGCGGAGTCCCTCTGCCCACTGGTTAATGGGAGGAGAAACAGCATCTCCCTCCCAGGACTACGTGAGAAGAGGAAGTATATAAAGCGCTCCGTCCTGTTTGGCTCACAGTTAAATATTTATCCCCACTTCCAGTGGGAAGGTGTGACTTTCTGCTCTGTTAGCTCCTGAAGTAGTTAATGTAAAACTGATTGGGAAAACTCTATTATGTTTCATGTAAAGAACAACATGGGGTGGATACAAAGATAATTTCTTCTTTGACTTAGAAAATCTTTATTCTTGAAATTCAAAGTCATTAAAATTGGTTAAAGCTCAATAAAACTCAGGAGGTCCAGGATATCCCACAGAGTGGGGAAGGAGGGAGGAGAAGCCACTGAAGTCATGCTGAGAACCTCAGCCTTCAGGTCACGTGGTACCATATCTACAGACCTGGCTCCAAACTCCTGCCCTAGCATCATGCTGGGCCATGTTACGTGCCTTCCCCCAACACATGCACACTCTCACACACTCAGGGGGGGTGGGGTGGGGTGGCGGCAGGTCCTCGGATTACTTGCTCTTATAGCAAGTGTGATTTCTTTGCAGCCTTATTACAGCTATAATTCTGTAATTATTTAATCAGTGTGGACTTTCTGGATCACCACTGTATCCTCTGAGTCTAGCAAAGCACCAAGCACATGGTAAGTTCTGAGGTATCTGCTTGCTGAATGAATGGGCTGGCCATAGCTTAAGAATTCGTCAGAGACTGGTTTTTCGCCTAAACCCTAGCATCTGAATGAAGTTCAGTATATGAGGTTAAGTGAACCCTGCTGGGGTAAATGGTTAAGGCCCGAAACAAGAGACCTGACAGAGGTGGCAGGAGAAATCCACGCACACCCAGATGCTGCTAACAGGAGAGGTGACAGATGAAGATAGTATGTGCTAAATGCTCTTTTGGGTAAGGGGGGGAGGGGGAAAGAATATATATTTCTATTTGTTCATTTTTGCATTAAAACACTCTTGAGAGAGATATAAAAAACTAGTAAGTATCTATTTGGGGAGAAGGGGATAGAGATGGGAGAGGGATTTCTCAAAGAATGTTTTTTTTTAAGATTTTATTTAGGGGCACCCGGGTGGCTCAGTTGGTTGGGTGTCTGCCTTCCGTTCAGGTCATGATCTCTCAGGTCCTGGGATGGAGCCCCACGTCAGGCTCCCTGCTGGGTGGGGAGTCTGCTTCTCCCTCTGCCCCCACCCCCGCCGCCCCCTGCTTGTGCTTTCTCTCTCAAATACATAACATTTTTTTTTTAAGATTTTATTTATTTATTTGACACAGAGAGAGAGAGACAGGGAGAGGGAACACAAGCCGGGGGAGTGGAGGAGGGAGAAGCAGGCTTCCCGCCGAGCAGGGAGCCCGATGTGGGGCTCGATCCCAGGACCCCGGGATCATGACCTGAGCCGAAGGCAGACGCTTAACGACTGAGACACCGAAGCGCCCCAAGAATGCTTTTTAAAGTCCAGCAGAAATGCTCCTTCTTCCAAGATCCTCTCCCCCCACTTCCCTCCCCTCCAAAGTACAATTCTACACACCTCTTATGGCCTTTAGATATTCTCTTCCCTAGACTGGCTGTTTGTACAGTATGAACAAAGCTCCCTGAAAACAAGAACGACATCTCATTTTATCTCTGTTTTTCCCTCTAGCCTGTCATCTAGTGGATTCTGAACAAATAAAGTATTACTTGAGTGAGGTTATGGCTTAATGGATACACCCCATTTGGGGTGATGAAAAAGTTTTGGAAATAGAGGTGATAGTTGCATAGCACTATGAACGTAATTAATGCCGAACTGTAAACACAAAAATGCTTAATTTTATGCTAAATACATACATATACTCAACATTGCTGGAAATCACACATCTCCAAACACCCTCTATGTCTTCCAGGAATATAACAAGTGCTCAATAAACATTTGCTAAATAATGACTAGACAGTATGATCATATGAAGAATGTCAAGTTTGAGAAAAGGCTAACATGTTTTTGTTTCGTAGTTGTTGTTTTTTTTTTTTTAAGTAGGCTCCAAGCCCAGTGTGGAGCCCAATGCAGGACCTGAACTCACGACCCTGAGATCAAGACCTGAGCTGAGATCAAGAGTAGGCTACTTAACCGACTGAGCCACCCAGATGCCCCAAAGCTATTATGTATGTTGATAACAGAGCCTACTATGTATAAACTAGACACCACGGAATATACATTTTTTTAAGGACTAAAGAGACTCTTGGAAACTTTTTCTTTATTTAACTTTTAATGAAAATATAGACTCCTTCCTAACTCAATAGAAAGACAGCAGTGATAGTAATTATCACACAGGAGGACCTCAACAAATGTTAAAGTCTCGTTTTCAAGTGCCACGTCAAGTTCTGAGGTATCTGCTTGCTGAATGAATGGGCTGGCCATAGCTTAAGAATTCGTCAGAGACTGGTTTTTCGCCTAAACCCTAGCATCTGAAT